AATTATAATATCCGGGTATATCATATGATGCTGTCGAGGATTTTATTCGCCACGTGTATCTCTTACCAAATGGCCTCTGCGTGTTGGTTACACAGCCCCACATTATGCTCTCCAAAGGACCGGGACCAATGGTTCAAGACCAAGGTAATGGACTAACATAATAATGCAATCATACCCCATATTACCCCATTTACATTAGAACGAATATAAAGCCATTTGTAACACATACAGGGTGGGGCATCCTATACACGTCGATCCAGACATAAAAACGGTATATGTTGGAGAGCGGTTCAATAAAGTTTAAAAGTTTAAAAAAATATTTATAAGTTCCTAATGTCGCCGAGAAGACTTGGAGTATTTTATGAAAAATATGTAAATTTTGAACAACAAATTTTTTTATTACTTGATCTAAAAATTTGAAAAAATTCAATATAGGATATTTTGACCTGGAAAAGACGAAAATGGCAATAAAAAACAGATAGGACTAATGTGGAATGAGATATAGGGCCGAAAGTGGGTTTTAGAGCGATTTTGGGGCCCTACGAGAAAACTGAGAAGCCCTAGAAAAATGTTGTAGTCATTTTCGGCTTTTTCAGACCCAAATTACCCTATGAGAATTTTTTCGAAATTTTTTGAGTTAAAATAAAGAAATTAGCATGCGCACGTGCTCAAAAAAAAGGCGCGAAAAATTAAAAATCTATCTTCTAAACTTCTAAAGGAAAATTCGCACAAGCTTTTAGAGGCCATTTTCTTTCTTTTCATGACATTCTAAGGTATTCCACGACCTGAAACGTCATAATTAGTCGACCGTTTGGAAAATCTTTTTTTTTTTTAAGAAGAAGACCTCTCCAGGACATGGGTGCAGATAAACCATTCCTGAGGCCATATTATTTGAAATATGACCAAAATATGTTGGAGAGCGGGTCAATAGAGTTTAAAAGTTATAAAAAAAATATTTAGAAGCTCCTAATGTCGCCGAAAAGACTTGGAGTATTTTATGAAAAATATATAAATATTGGACCATAAAAATTTTTATTACTTGATCCAAAAATTTGAAAAAATTAAACATATGGTATTAGTAGGTTTTTAAGCGATATTGGGGCCCTACGAGAAAACTGAGAAGCCCTAGAAAAATGTTGAAGTCATTTTCGGCTTGTCCAGACCCAAATTACCCTATGAGAATTTTTTTGGAATTTTTTGAGTTAAAATAAAGAAATTAGCATGCGCACGCGCTCAAAAATTATTTTTTAAATTACTTTTGTACAGAAAGATTAATATCTATTGGAGATATAATTAAGAAATATTTTGGAATGTTTCTATCTAAAAAGTATTAACATTGAAAAATTGTAGACATTACAACCGTTTTAATTACTTAGTACAATACAATATCAATATAAAATGAAAGAAATAGGTAGAAGGCAATTCTTATGTTGGCTAGAACATGCCTTGCATGAAAAATGCATTTCAGCTAAACTAAAGTTAGATTATATAATCTATAACTTGGCAACTGTGAATTTTTCCAATCAAGATTTGAATTTTTATTTAGTTGTTACAAAGACGGTTTTTAGCAAAAAAAAACCTGTGTTTTGAGATATGCACTATTATACAGTGTGTTTACTTAAGTTGGAACCATATGAAAAACTTTTAATATTGGTTTTGTGAAAAAATTCATGTGATAAAAAGTTCTGCATGGTCCAAAACTTCAGGTTTGGTGATTATTTAATTTATAATTACAAATAATTTTTTTATACCTAATGACTGTAATTGCATATTTAACTTATAATTCTAAATAACTTTACTTTATAAAATTCTTCTGTATTTTAAAAAATAAGGTACTTTACTCTTGATTAAAATTCATATTTTTTTATAAACCTCGTATACGGCTTAAAATAATTGATATCTGATTATTACATTTTAAGTTTTGGACCACGTAGAACTTTTTATCAAGAATACATTTTTTCACAAAACCAATATTTAAAAAGTTTCTCATATGGTTTCAACTTAAGTAGGCACACTGTATAACTCGGAATGGACAGACAATTGAGAGAAGTCATAATAAAAAAAAATGTTCTCCTTACCGATATCTTTCATTTGGTATATATCTCACTCCTATTGGGAGGTGGGGCAAAACTGCCCATTCTCCTAAATAAAGCCTAAAAACTAGAGGGTTACATCTGCTCTCTGGTGCTGTTAAGATAACTTGTTCCCTTTTTCCCTATAAAACATGAGATAATTTTAAATATATTCTCGTTGAATTCTCAAAATTTAAGTTTTTTGAGATATAACTCTTTTTTCCAAATGATCGATATATCCAATACTCCCTTATGAGGGAGCAACACCCCTTTAAAGAGAACCTCCAGTAGACGATATTTTCGAAACTGGTACTAAAAATAACTATTTATAAAATCATTTACGAAATGCCTTATTTTATGTAACAAGGGAATATTTGAGGGACGAGCAGAGCGAAATGAAAATATACAACTAATAATACAAGAAAGTAGTAATATTGGTTGCCTAGATGTCAGTGATTTTTTTACCAAAATACAATTTTATAATTAGTCAAAATTAGAAAAAATATTGTAACATATTACCCATGTGATTATCGCACTCACCTACGGCTCGTGCGACAACATTCACATTTGTCAAAAAAGAGTAGCTTTACACGCTTGTTGCATAAATAACTGTTAGTTTTTTTCTTTTTTTTTTTCTAATAGTAAAAATATTTAGTTTATATTTGTCCTTAAGCAAAATTATGGTTTTCAAAAATGTCAGAACCCATAAGATAAAATGAGAAACCATTACTTTATTCGTGTATTATTTAAAACACAGAAATTTATTAATAAGATTATTCGCTATTAAAAAGAGAGGAGTTGACATCTAAAATTTGTAACTAAAAATTTTATGTTTCTCTAAAATGTAAATAATTTTGAATTGATTAGGTGGTGTTATTCTTTAAATATTAAATAATATAGAAAGTTTAATAAAAGGCACTGGTTGATTGTTGACATTTGACATTCCGTGAAGTCACTTTCTATTATGTTAATAAAAAAAACCACTGTAACACCATCTAGGATACTCCACAAAAAAAAATTCCGATAAAATAGGCAGGTTGCCCCATAGATAAATTAATAAACAAGATGAATGTTTTAAATACACGCCACTGTCAACACATTTTAGTTCCCAGCATACTATTAGTTAGCGCCACCATCGCAATAGTATGAAAGCAATGTTGCCGGTTTCTGTAAACTTTCATGAGATGCGAGTTATTTCAAATGCGTCTTATTTTAATTTTTTATCAATCTACATGCGCACCATACCATCCATACAATGTCCATACTATTACTGGGATTTTTAAAAGAATGAGTTGACAACATCGTAAAAAATTAAAAACCGGGATGGCGGAATGCCAAATATGATAATGAAATGAAATATAAAACCTATTTTATGAATTATGATGAAAGTTCTAAAGATCAGCAAGTTATTTTTAAGAAAATAAACAGTTTGATTTGATGTAATTAGTAAGTATTAGCAATTTAATTTAATATTAAAGGTGTGTATATTTATTTAAGGACTTTTTTTATCATTGTTTTCTTAACCTTATATAATTTCATATTTCATGGATTTTCAATTTTGTTTTAATATTTGAAACAAAAAATGTCTGGCCCGGGTATAGTTAAGTATTCTCTAGAGTATTCTTGTTCAGCTCCTAATTGTTCAAATAAGTATTATTCTAAAATTCAGAAGGTTGTATATTCAAATATTAAACCTTTTTTTCATTTTCCTTCCGATATTAAAATTTGCCAGAACTGGTTTAAGACTTTAAATTTAACTTTAGATCTATCTATCTGAATTAGGGCGTGGTTCAAAGCCCACTTGTACTGAAGCTCTAGGCTTATTGTACCCTAACTTTAGATAATAATACTGGTTATCTTTGTCCAGACCATTTTTGCCTGTCTTTTAGTAAGGTTTCCTCAAAACGTAAACTGCTAGTTGGACATTCTGTACCAATTTCATTAGATAATTGTGCATCCAGTTCAAATATACAACCTGAGAATTAGATTTTAGAATAAGTTGAGGCTGAAGCACAAATATAGCAGAATAATAAAAACAACAAATTAGTTGCAAACGTAAACTTAATAATTAGTGATGAACAATTTGAACGACCTTCGAAACGAAGAAAAACAATAAATAAATAAAAGTAGAGTCAGAAATTTAAGTCCTAAAGAGAAAGAGTTATATTTTATTAATATTTGATAAGAGAAATTGTTCAATAAGACATGTACACTTTTTGTTTTGTTTTTATAGGAAACACTGGACACCCAACAAAATATGGTCCATTTTTCCAAGAATGGGGGAGACTACCTACTATTCATTTTAAATTGTTATTTAATATTGAGCTTATGTATATGTATGTATTACTGTATAATAAATAAGTAACATATATGTTTCAAATATTTCATTTTAAAAATACATTATTTTGATGTAAATATTAGTTTTTTTAGAGTAATGAATGCCAAAAAAATGTAAATAAATAAATTATATTTGAATGAACCGCGGTTCGCTTAAAGCTCTTCTTTTTTTATTCTTCTCTTTCTTATTCAGCCTCTAACTGGCAAGTCAATCAGCCAGTGTAGTTAAAAAAAAACACTAATTCGCAGCACTATTTGTTTCCAAATTTTAACACGGGATCCGACTAGGTATCTTCATTGTTAATTTATCTATGGGTTGCCCTGACAACGTTAAGAAATGCTTGTATTTTATTGGTTACTTACTAATGGCGTGAAATTTTCACGTGTATTAAATCATTCTGTAAATAAGAAAGCATTATTTTGTAACGTTTAAATATTGCAAGACAATTAAATATTTATTTTGCTATAAAAATATCCACACTCTAATGATTATTATTGCATTCCTTTTGGACACTCCTTTCATAAACCTTTGTTATACCTTAAGATAACTGTTTACCCCAGCGTATCGTTTGGTGTATTTACCTTGGCAAGGTCGTTTCACGTCAAGTGTTTCCAATATTACTTACCTCGTGACTTCCACCAGCACCTAGTGCACGGGAACTTTCTTATCTTCTATTTCCTTTCTACGGATGCTGTTAGGTACCGTAACTATAGCAAGTCTGTTGCATTTTTGAAATAACTCCGCGAACGGGACAGAGTGCGTGTTTACAAAAAAAATAGCTATTGTACACTTAAATTTTGAAGACATAATAGATTGTGTAATTAAAGTGTTCGAAAATCAGAAGATGGATGTTTAAAAAAATAATAATTCATCTTTAACCACTACATTTTTGTTTAATTTGAATTTTCAACTCAAAAAAAAAATAAAATGTGAAATTCAGATAAATTATTTGGGGAGCAATCTTTAACTACCAAGTGACTGTTTTATGGGAAAAAATCTCATCGAATGCCTTTGGACAGAAAATGTATTTTTAGTGACAGAGGGTAATTTAAAAATGCCAACAGACATGGTGTCATTTGCGGTATCAACAGGACTTGGAGTTAGCGTTGTTGCTGGGATTTTGTCTGGAGTTTGTTACGTTTTAGCGTATGGAATACAGACGCCAAAGAAAATGTAAGTAAATATTGTGAGAGTATTTCGGTTTTTAAATTTTTTATACAGAGTGATCTTTTTAAAATCCCAAAACGTCAAATTTAATTGAGAGGGAGACATCTTTCTATTATATTATCAACTGTCATGCGTCATTCCCTTTCCATCAGTCGCTCTATCCAATACAATTTATATATAGGGAATGTATTAAGTATGGCGCATCATTGGTAAGGTAATTTTATGGGAAATACAGCAATATGACTGTTAGGAGCGTTAGTTTTGATTTTAGTGCCCTCTAGTATTATTATTAATTTCTTTATTTAGCTTTACTAATACAAAAATAGTACAGTTTTTAAAACAATAAGTACAGTTTATACATTATGTATAGTGTCTAAATATGAACAGAAAAAAAACATAAATAAATGATAAGTGTCTAACTATATAAAAAAAAATATATATATATATATATATATATATATATATATATATATATATATATATATATATACATGTAAAATATAAGATTAAATTTATATCTACAATTAAAATCTCTCTATATCTACAATTACAATATTTTTTTTTTATTTATACCCTTTGTGTCATCATAATATAGTTCTTAAGTTTACATTTAAAATTATTTAATGAGGTAGCATTTTTAATTTCAACTGGTAATTCATTGTAAGCCTGAAGACCCTTGACAAAGACCGAATTTTGGACACTCCTACTTATAACATGTCGAATATGAAAATTAGTCCGATTTCTTGTATTATAATTGTGAAATTGGAAATTGTAATCTATGTTTTCAAGTAAGTATGAAGGCATCATTTGTAATTGAATTTTAAAAATAAAAATTAATGTTAGGTAAAGAATGTAATTTTTAACTGACATCCACTCAAGATCCTGTAACATTGTTTTTATATGAGTTCTTTTATCACAAGAAAGTATTATCCTCATTGCCCTGTTTTGAAGTTTCTGCAATCTATTCATTTCATTTTGGTTTAGCAAATATAAAATTGTGGCACAATACGTAAAATGGGGCAGAATTAAGCTATTATAAAGAAGCTTTAAAGACAATTGGTTAAGATGTTTTGAGCATCTATATAAATAATGTATAATAAAAAACGTATTATAAAGTATAACATCATTGTCAACTTTTAATTATTGATATGGATAGGGGTAATTAAGAATTACTGAGGCCCTTCCTATGGGGCCTCAGTATTGCATTCGTGCAGACGAAAAAATTTTATTACCCCATTTTTTAAAACTTTTTCATGTTTCCGATCATGCTGAGTCCGAATATGCAAAAAAAATCCTTTGGGCGTCTGTGTGTATGTATTCCGGCACGATAACTCTAGAACGAAAGTTCTGATTGACTTGCGGTTTTGATTTTCTTGAATAATTACTTCTAACTTAGAACCCTATTGATTTTCAGAATTTTCGGTTCATCCTAACTACTTTAATATCAATTTTCTTAAAATCCGCATATGCATTTCTTATGTGACAATTTTACGAATTTCAATTGTTTCTAACGTCAACATTCCTAACATTTTTAACATTCCATAAATTGCAAACATTCTCTGACGACCTGTCAAACAACAGCTACTGATAGTAAGGGTGAAATTTCTAAGGTTGGTTGCGACCTTCATACTTGCAACCATAGCCATTTTGGAGGTTATTTTTATTTGAAATTAGTCGCCAAGCCTGCCAATTTATGAAAAATATATAAGCAGTTTCTTAAAAATGACTTTTTTATGTTGGTGCTAACTTAAGCGTACTACTATTTCGCTCCTAGCCACAAAAACACCATCAAATTTACTGGCTCTCTGTCGCAATCCCATACAACAATTAACCGGCCATTTTATTTGGCAAAAATCAGAATAATGCTTGGCTGTGCCTGTCAAGAATCAAGGTTTTAACTGTGATGTGTAAATAATAATAATGTTTAATATAATAATAATAATAATAATAATGTTTATTTACCATATAATAGTTTTACATATTTATTTTTACATAATATATTTAGTTTGTTACAATAATAAAATAGCAGAAAAAAAAGAAAGTAATGTATACATTTTTAACAAATAATTATAACAGGTAAATAAACAAGAAGAAAGCTCCCCAAAGAAACCAGTGGCTCTTAAATGTCAAATTATTTAAAAATGTATACTTCTTTTGATATTTATTGCAAATAATTTGTAGTATATATCTCAATTTAGGCTTTCCATAAATAAAGGTACAGCAAGACAGATAATAATATAATGTTCATATAAAATGCACTTTTTTATTATATAAAAGAGAGGTAGGATATAATGCTGATTTTTTGTAGAAAATTTATATTATACGATTTTGGATTACATATTCAACCAGCGAATTGTAAATAATAATTAGAAAACTTCTAGTCATAAATTTCCTCAATCCATAATAATTAAAAATAAATCTTCTTACCTTGATACCGAGGTATTTTGTTTTATTTTAATTATAAAGTTGTCATTTATTTGTGATGTTGCGAATTATATTGAATTTTTTCTAATAAATCTGATGCGATGGTACTGTCATTTTTATTTTATAAATAAATAACAGTCATGTACTGAACATAATTTTGAACTGAAAGCCAATTTATTTCTTTTAACATAGTTGCAATACTCATCCTTCTGTCCTTTATTAATATTTTATAAATATAATAATATGCAAAAATATTTTAGATGAGCAGGCTTAAGAGGTAAAGGGGCCAATTATTATTGAATAAATTGCTCAAACAAGTTTGTAAACCCTAATCAAAAGGCGATATGGAATGGTTTTAAAAATCAAGGATTGTGAAAATCATCACATGGTTTAACCTAATTAATGCCAATGCTTCACAAATCAAAAAATTCAACGTCCTAATACTACTATCGGCTTTCGATCTTTCGTTCCAAGTTAAATAATTTCTCGTTTTTGTTACCCTACGAGTTTACCCTTGCGGGCCTCAGTCTCGATAAGGTGGGACTACCATTTTAGCGTCTCTAGAATTCTATTATTAAATATCTGTTTATTCTGTAAAGCACATGAATGCAAAAGTATTTCATTTGAGGTAAAAACGCCGTGTTCCGCCTTTTCTTTATTCATTTCTTTTTTTAAACACTTTTCATCCTTTTGGACATTATTTGTCATTTTCCACTACGATCTTTTACCATATATTGTGGGCATCTGTTTTTTAGAGTATATCGTCTAGCTTGGTCTTTTTTATTAGACTTAGTAGCTTTGACAGAGGCTCCCGAATGCATGCGTTTGGATTTTCCTCGCCTAGTGTTAGAAACCTCAATCTAGCTAGGCCTTCCCATTGATACAGAACGATATTTCCTTTTCTTCTTCACAGAACCTGTTCGGTGAGGTATCCTAATGATTTGACGTTTTTAATCCAGTAGGTATTTCGTGAACTTGGCCGATGGTTTCTTCATGAACTGTTTGGCCTGCCTCAGTCTTGGATGGTTGTTCAACCATTTCTGAGACTATTTTTGCATTCATTGTTCGATGGATGCCTTGCACAATGCCTTAGCAACTCCACAAAAGGGTTCTGGGCCTATCATGGCCTTATCTGAGCTTTCTCGGGCTAATTCGTCGGCCTTTTCGTTGCCCTGATGTCCTTCGTAGCCTGGGACCCAGGCTAAGATCACCTTCTTTTGACTACTTAGCTCTACCAGGTCTTCTAGACTGTCTTTGACCAGTCGCGATTTAATTCCTGGTGAGAGAATTGCCTTTAGAGCTACTTGCTGATTTATTATTTATTTTTCATAGTGTTGTATGGCTATTAGTTTAGCCTGGAACACTGTTGCATGTTCTCCTAGATAGCGAAATCGTTGTTTTTGACTAGGGTCCATAGATTCCAGCACCGGCTCTTTCCGTGATTTTTGAACCGTCGGTATACCAGACGAGTTTAAACAGTGCTAGAATCCATGTAATAGATTCATCACAACGGTGGAGGGTCCTGTTATTAAAAAATATGCCGAAAATTCGGCCTGGAGTCATCCTTGATTCACAATTAAGTTTATTACCAGCCTCATAATTATTATCATTAGAATAATAATCATTAAATTCACTTCATTTTAGGCTAATTTTTTAGTAATTTAATGCGTACCATAAATTCGACTTTTTGATGATTCTGATTAAATTTTTGTATTTCTTAACGTTAGAGCGCCACAAGATTTTCCAAATATTCATGGTTTATTCAATTATGTTTTGTTATGTTGTGCTATTAACAACTAATAAAATTAGCTTTCAAATAAAGTGGCGATTTTTATCTCGATATAGGACGCTAAAATCAAAAGTAATGCAATAAACAGTAATATTGCTGGATAAATGGTAAAATATTATATTCCGTAAGATAGCAAGTCGACAGCAAGTAATAAAAATAAGTACCGTAAAATATTTAATAGACAAATTATTATTGAAAAGACAATGGAATTCAGTAATAATTTAACATTTTTATAAACATAAACAATTGTTTAATTTGCTTTTATTGTTTTAAAATAATAGTACTTACGAGTACATTAATCATTTTCTTTTATTTTCCAGCATTCAAATGTTAAATGTAGGTATGTGAATAATAAATAGTGTTCTAGAAATTCGAATACTTACATAGTACTTTTTACTTGTTCCAGTTTCTGTAGATTGTACATTTGTTTTTATTTCTTAAATGCTGTCTAGTAGGGAAATCATAAACTTAAGACCAAACGAAATGGTGAAACTATTGAAATAGATACTTTGAAAGTACACTCTTTATCCGAAGGGTAGTAGCAAACATATCACCTATCTCTCGACTTATCCGTTGTTTATTTTGGTGTTATCAGTTCTATTTCTTTTAATTCTTTTTCTTCGCTAATTTTTTACCATAAATACTATATGCTTTACAAATTACTATCAAAACTGTATTAACTCATAATATTTATCCAATTTCAATAAAAAATAAACAATTTCTATTACATAATATTATTGTTTGTCTCTACTGCATTTTAGTAAAATCATGTACTGTATAATTAACAAAATAT